CGCATTTAAATGAGTATATATATTTGATAGGTGTGCTAGAGTAGCCAACCAAGAATAATCATTCATGCATTCACTCGACGAAAATGATTTATGTTCGATAAAAAATAATCTTACCTCATCTTTCAATTCAAATAGACGAGAGAGCACTTTACCTCGAGATAACCAACGAATTTCAGAGTGCAACAGAAGTTGATAATGTTCACTATCCATGTGTTGCCGCCGTAAAATAGCGGCCGGTCGACGACCCGAATAATATCACAGCCTATCGACACACACGCACAATTATCTATATTGTGATTTATTTATTTTTGTTATTAATTGTGTGTGAATTATTTAAATTAACGCGTTACCCGTTATCGGCGCGTTATCTGCATCGCCGGCTTGTCGGTTTGCGTATTTTAATACGGCCGCCGCAACTTTTGTCGCTCTCTGCACGTCGTTCGTGAATTGTCCGTTGCGTTGTTGTGAACAATTTTTCTTTTTACACATTTTCATAAGCACAAATTGCTGTTTTTTTGTTGTTATTTTGTTTATATACGTGCGCGAATCGCCGTTCTTTTATTATAATATTGTTTAAATTTGTTATAGGCACGAATTGCCAGTTACCTTTTTGTATTGTGTGGGCACGGGTTGCCAATATTATTATTATCGTTTTTTATTATAAATTTTAATGTGCGCGAATCGCCACTAAATTTTATGAATTTTATTATATTATTATACGTGCGCTAATCGCCGTAAATTTTGTATTAACAATTATTGTGTGTGCGCTAATCGCCACTATTTTTTTTATTATAATTGTAGATTTAAGTATAGCTTTAGGTAGCGGCTGGCCAGTTCTACGCACCGACAAAATTGTGAGTTCTTTTTATTCAAATTAATTAAATTATTATTGTTGGGCCAAAAGGGCCGTGATTTATATATTTATTTGTTATTTATTTTATTATTATATTATTGTTTGTTATTTATTTATTTTATTTATTTAAATTTTATCCATATTATATTGTTGTGCCAAACAGGCAATTATTTAGATTTTACTATTTATTTTTGTGTTGCTGTGAGTTTTATATATACTATTTTACCATTTTTTTACCAGCAATACATTAAATATTTAGTTACCATTTTTAGTTGTGTTTTGTGTATCATTTATTCTAATTTTTAAGTACACACAACATACATACACACATACACACTCACAGCACCACATAATCGGATAGTATTTGCGCGGCGAACCCAACCATTGCTATCCGATCTATTGACAAAAATACACATGTACACAAGGTGTGACCGACGAAGTCGGTTTAGGTAGTGCGTACGGAGTAGTGGTGTCCGGTGTGTGCGTATTATCGCTATACGCTACCGGCCCAAACACCATGTTTGTAAAGTTGTTCAAAAATTCTTGAATTCAATGATTTTGATTTTATAAAGTTTACAATTTTTACAACTTTGTCCAAAACTGTTTTCAGTGACATTGGTATTTTTTTGGGAACTTTAGCTTCGCAATTAATGCAACAATGATGCCATGTGACTGATGGTATGATTTTTTTAATCCGTGCAATTAATCCAGTAAATGTTCCTAACATTGCGTGAGCACCATCTGTACTAACTCCTACACATTAAATTTCATTCGCTATAATAAATTCATTAATTTTACAAAATATTTTCCCTGCCATTGTGTGTACCATAGTGGTTACGAACAAAATGTCTTCAGAAATGACATTTTCGTATTCGTATCTCACATAACACAGTAATACAGATTTATTAGTTATATCGGTACTTTCATCAAGTTGGAGACTAAAGTAGTCATTTTTATTAATTCTTCTCAATAACTGTTCTTTAATGTTTATTGATAAACTATCAATTCGTTTTTTTATTATATCATTTGACAATGCAATTTTATTTAAGCTATTTGTAGCTTCTTCGCCGATCATTGCAGAAACCATAGCTTTTGCAGCCTAATAATAATCTTTTGCAGATAATACCTCAAAACATATCACACAATGAGGTTTTGGTTATCCTTCAGATGCGTTGCACGTGAAACCCTTTGATAAATAATTACTATCATACTAACAAAGTCTTGTTGACTTTTCTTTTTTCAGACACGGAATCTTTTCATCATCAACGTCAGAATTCTTCCTTTTTAAATTTAGCCAACGTTGCATTTTAACTTAAATGCCTTAAGATTATTTGAAAAAATATCACGTATTAATCTTAAATTATGTAAATATAAGACTGATAAACTGCACTTATTGATAGTAAATATACGACTGCCCCCTAAAGTGCTGTATGCCTGTACAATTTGTACGAACAATAAAACTGATAAATAAATAAAATAATAAAATTTTTAGGTTTAGATACAAAACTGTATGGAATTCCACATTGTCATCGGTGTAATGAAGATAAGATTATCTCCTACAATATAAGATATATTTTATAATTTTGTACGAAAAAAATAAATAATAATCCAAAAGTATAGTAATAATGCACATATACTACATATACACATACTTATGTCACATATTGACTTATGTTAGGTATATAAGGCTAACCCCGCGAACCCCCGTCATGAGTATTGCGGACCCCCAGAGGGCCGCGGACCACATGTTAAGAACCGCTGGATTAGATCAGAGTTGGGCAAAATTTTATCTAGATAATTATTCGAATAAAAAATTATTCCACTAATTTAGAAACAATATTAATCGAATAAAAATGTATTCGAATAATTTGGAAACAATATTATTGGAATAATAAGTGATCATAATATTATTTAAATAATTTTTAAACATAGTTATCCTATCCTAGTATATATAGTAGTACTTAGTACTAATTATTAAATATGTATTATGAAATAATGATTATAATTCTTTTAGTTTGTCTACATGTATTTAGTATGTACCTTAATAGTAATTAATTATCAATATTGAAGATGTTATTATTATATCTAGTTTAGTCCAGTTTCTGTACTATATTATATAGTCTCAGATATATTGGTACTATGTACTAACTACGTATATTCAATGTTGTATTTCATATTTATAAGTTCAAATATATAGAGCTCTACACAAAAATATAAAGATACTAGATAGATATGGGCATGTAGCTATAAAAATTATCTGTTTGAATTTATGAAATCTAATAATAATTGTGTTTGAAAATTAGTCGAATAATTGTGTTTGAAAATTAGTCGAATAATTGTATTTGAAAATTAATCGAATAATAATTTATTCGAATAATTGTATTTGAAAATTAATCGAATAATAATTTATTCGAATAAAATGTTATCTAAATAATCATCTAAATAAAATTTTATTCGAATAACGCCCAACTCTAGATTAGATTATTGAGGGGACAGTTTATGGTGTTTTATTAATTATAAACGCATGGGTTTTTTCGTGGAGCAGTGCGTATGCGTTCATGAGCTTGTTGATGCAGGCCCACATTCCACTTACCTTAAAACGATTTAGGTACCTAGTATTATGTATATTAAGCCGCGTCCAGACGGAGCAGCTTTTGTCACGTGGCAAATACGCGTCCACACGGTGCGGCATTTATTTCCCGATTTGTTATTAATTAATAATTTATTATTAAATCAGTTAGCGCCAAAATGTCATCGAAGGAGGATGTTGTTTACAGGGGCGGACTGACAGGGCGGGTAGGTGGCCATACCCACCTAGGCCCTCTAAAAATGCTGTGTTTGGGTCTCAAACTATATTTTGTTATTTTAACGCCACGCCGTAATCATTACCGATAGCTGAAAACCATTGATTATATAATAGATATTATATATTATTATATTATATAATCAACGTTGAAAACGAAGAAAACAATACAATATACAATAATAAAACTGGGATAGTCCGACTGCTGTCGCAGTGGCTATGAAAGTTATTATTAGATTCATTTTTGGAATTAATTAAGTAACAATATACGTATCGTGAAATCTTATTCTTATCTATGTTTGATTGACAAAATTTCTATAATAGTTCGACCACGGATCAATATAAATAATGAATATAAAATATACATATATTATTACTATTCCGAATTCCAATCATTTGTTCATGACGCGTCGAGTTGTTTGATTTATGAGCTTATTGTTTATAGTTAATACTCTAGTTAAAACTTAAAAGCATACAGGTAAATACTAAATTTAATATATATTTTTTATATTTTATTTTTTTTTATGTTCGTAATCGTAACTTTTTAAGTAAAGGCGAAAAGCTTGAAATTTAAATTTATAATTATAATAAAAGTAGTTATTACTATTTTAGGTATTTTTAGCTATACATGGAAATATTCGGTTCTTTCTGTTACACCCTGTATACTATATTCTATCAACATTAATCATAATGATATTTTTTTTAAATAGTGGTTTCTGGTTTTACAATGGAAATGGAAGATAAAAATAAGAATAAAAAAACAAAAAAGTGGTTTTGAAAAAAAATTAGAAAAGCGGAAGGCAATATTTTCTGCAGCTGGGTCGGATGGTAAACAACGAAAGCTAAATTTTACTGTGACTTCATTTAAAAAAAATCAACACGAAAATGTAACTGAAATTTCAAATCTTTTACGTACTATTGAAAAGTCTTCCAATAATAGTGATGAAATTCTATCTGAATTAACCCCTGAATTTCCTACAAAAATGTCCAACATAATATATCCTAGTTCAAGTTTACCGATTAAAGTTTCAAGTTACCAAGATGAATTAAATTTAACTATTAATAAAAATGATATAGTTTCTTCATCCGAATCCGATTCTGACCAAAATAGTATGGATGAAGTGATCGAGTAATACAAACATTAGTCTTTTTTTTCCTCCTCTTTTTAGTAGCCATCATCAAACAAAAGTTGCATTTGTTGATGCACACCCTTGTCAACCTAAAAGCAATGTACCATTTACTTCTAATAAAGTTTATTTTAGAAAAATGCTAGATGGCAAATATGTAAATAAAAAATGGGTTACTTACAATGAAATTAATAAAAAAGTATACTGCTCTTTATGTATGGCCTTCACTCGTCCAAATAGTACTCCATTTATTGAAGGAGTTGAAATAAATCTAAAATATCTTTATCGTCAATTAGAAAAACACGAAAATTCTAAACCTCATGATAGTGCCTGTAAAATATACTTCAATATTTCATCAGGGAAAACAATGACACATTCACTTTTAAGTCATCGTCAAAAAATGGTAGAGCTGAATAAAGAAATCATGACTAGAATTGTAGATATTGCTTTATTAATTGCTAAACAAGGTTTAGCATTTAGGGGAAAGAGAAATGAAGCGGCTTATAATTTGTCAGATTTAACTTCAAATTTAAATCAAGGGAACTTTTTGGAAATTGTAAAACTTGTGGAAAAGTATGACTCAGTGTTACAAACACATATAAATAATTCCATAAAAAAAAGTTTAATTAAACAAGGAAAAACTGGACGTGGCTCGTATGTAACATTTTTATCAAAAACTACCCTAAATAAAATTTTGAATATAACTGGAAATTTAATAAAAAACAAAATTGCTAAAGAAGTAATACTGTCAGAACAGTATTCATTAGAAATCGATTCTACTCAAGATACCTCGGTTAAGGATCAATTGTGTATTTGTATAAGATATGTTTTAAATGGAAAAATCAATGAGAAAATGGTAGCCTTAGTAGAATCGACATCTGGTACCGGAGAAGCGTTATATAATGTCATGAAAAAAGAATTAGAATCCTTAAATATCTCTTTAGCTAATTTAATCGGAGAATCATTTGATGGCGCTGCTGCTATGAGCGGCTGTTATAACGGTCTTCAAGCACATTTAAAAAAAATTGCACCCGAATCTATATTTACACATTGCCACGCTCACGTATTAAACCTTAAAGTAACTGATGTCACGTCGTGTTGTTTATCTGCTCAAGATCTTTTCAATTTATTACAAAAAACCGCAGTATTTTTTTCTGATTCTTATAAAAAAACTGGTATTTGGAAAAATTTTCTTTCGAAAGATCAAACTGGAAATGATAAATTGAGAAAAATTCAAAAATTGGGTACTACTAGGTAGAATAGTAAGGACGCTGCATTGAAAAATATTTTTGGTCCTTGGTCAGAGTCTAGTGAAACTAGTGATCGATATGACGTTTTATTGGAATCTTTATATTTTCTTGGTTCAGATAAATCGATTGATTTAAATACATCATCTGATGCAAGGTTTTTAATAGAAAAATGGACATCTTTTGAAACTATCATAACTTCATTTATATTTTTTGAAATTTTTCATTACACTACTGCTGTTTCAAAATATCTTCAATCTAAAGAATTGGATTTCATTACTGTTATAAATCTAATTAAGTCTTTACTAAGTGATATTAGAAAAGGATCATCGAATTATGACAAAGTTGAGGAAAAAGCTATTAATTTTATTTCGAGTAAAAACAATTTTGATAAAATTAAAAAACTTGAAAATATATTCATAGAACAAACATTTACTAATAAACGAAGGCCAAAAATTAAAAAAATGCCCGGTGAGAAAGCTTCGGATGATAACAGAAATATTTCACCAAATGAATATTTCAAGATCAATACCCATCGAAGAATTTACGATGTTTTAATAAATGTGTTTGAAAAAAATGAAAAAATATATGAAGTATTAGGTACATTTAATACACAACGTTTTAAAGAATTCGCCAAAAATCCTCATTTAATTAATGACGATAATTTAAGATATATTGCTCAAAAATCAAATACCGAATCTGGAATCGCATTAAAAGAAGAGTTTCTTCAATTTATATCATTTTTTAATCAGACTTTTAACAAAATTTTCCATAAAAGTAACACAAAATCGCAAAGTGTTAACGATAATTCAGCAGAATCTAGTGATGATTTCAAAACGATTACTTGCAAATCTGGAAAAGAAGTAGGCTGCTGCAGTTGTCTACCACATTTGTTGGAATATTTATATAAATATAATTTACACACATTAGCATTTTCAAACTTATACTTGGCATACAAATATATTCTCACACTCTCCTGCACACAAGTAAACTGAAAACGTGCATTTTCTAAATTAAAAATAATAGAAAACAGATTGAGGAGTGCAATGAAGGAGGAGTTATTAGAATCTTTAATGCTAATTAGCATAGAATCAGATATGATTCCAGAAATTCCAGAAATCATAGATGCTATTGGAAGAAGTTCTGGAACATTTAGTAATTTATTAATTTTTTAAAACAATAGTATTTGTAAAATTAAAAATATAATTATTTTTGAAATTATTATATTTGTGTTGAAAAAGGTTTAAGTTGAAGTAGTTTGTTTTATTTTATTTGTATTTAAAAAGATTTAAGATTTAAATATTGAAGTAACTTTTTTTATTTTATAATGTTTAACTTAGTTAAGTATTAACTCAGACATTAATTTCATTTTGTTATAAAGCTATTTTATTTAAAATAAAAACTATAATAAAAGTCGCTTGTTTACTATTTTGTAAAATATACACCCACCCAGGCCTTCAGGGCCTTAGTCCGCCCCTGGTCGTTTATGCATTTGCGTTGTTGTATGCGTACAAAAATCATACAAAAGCGCGGCAAAAAAATGGGGAGTTCGCCTAAGTTTTTAAAGCAGAAAAGTTGCAAATGGATCAAGATTATTAAATTAATTAAGAGAAGATGATGAATTAAATTTTGAATTATGAGGTTCATTTTATAATTTTTTAAGAATGTCAAGTTCAGATTTTGAATGCATACCAGTGGCGTACCTATGAAATAATTTTGGGGCGGGGCATAAATTAATTGCACAATTTTTTATGGTTATAATATAATCTGAAAATTTATTATAAATTATTACTAAATACTTAAAAAATTAATCATATAACAAAATCTAAATTTCTTTTTTTACTGACAGAAAATAAATCAATAACTACGTCAACTTCAACTATTCTGTCTCTATGGATATTAAGCAAAACTAACCCAACCAAGCGTTTCTTCACCCATGTTTGACCTTAACCAAGTTTTTAATCTAAGTTTAAAAGTTCAAAGCAATACAAATTAAAATAAAATATAATCATACATGATGCTAAAGCATATAACCACTTTATAAAATAGTGACTATATGTGACTATCACTCCTAATCCCAATTAGGTCGAATATTGATATTTTATATTACATTGAAAAGTGATATCAAACACGATTATAAACAGTGAAAATTAAAAATATTTATAATTTAGATCATTTAAGCTGAATAATTAATTTGCATTATAGCATCAATAAACTTCTCGGGGGGAGGCAAATGCCCTTGTTGCCCCTCCCCACAGGTATGCCACTGAAACATACTGTGCAAAATAGAGCCAATAACAAAAAAAATATGATACTTTTATGAGGCAATCAGTTTTACCTCAGTGAAAAATGTTTGTTTTGTTACTAATTACTTTCAGATAATTTAAATACCTACTTAAAAAATAAGTATTGATGTCGTGCGGCTTTGCCGAAAATACGTCCACACACACGCGGCATAGGCGAGCGGTACAAACCGCGTGGCTTTCTTTTGATGAAGACCGCCTACTAGGCCTATCGGAAATTATGCCGCGCGGCATCAAAAAAAGCAGCGGAAAATGTTTTTATGTAATCACATACATGCCGCGCGGCAAAAGTTGCTCCGTCTGGACACGGCTTTAGAATATAATAATCAATTATTATAGTCATAATACCCACATAATATTTCGTACAAAATGTTTTTGTGAATAAAAGTGATGTAATGATAGGTATATACAAATATTTTAAATTATACTTTACAATCACGTAAAATAAAATTTTAATGTTTTTTATGAACATATTAAAATATATATCAGTGTTTCTCAACCGGTGTATCGCCGGGTAAGTCCAAATGTGTCGCGTGAAGTACTAATATTAAATGACACAAAATGTACAAATATTATTGACACTTATTACAAAAATTAAAAGGTATTAGATATAATTTCTATGATGAATAAAAATAGATTATCAGCTATTGATATTAAATCAATTTCATCATTATCATTTTAGATAAGGCACAAGAAGCTAGTTTTTATATTGCCTAATTGATAGCTTAAAAAAATCTTATATAATTGCCGAGTCTTATTAATTGATAACTTTTCATGGCTGGAATTTTAAAATGTTTGATTGGGTGAGAAATCTATTTAATCCTAATTTAGAAACCTTACATATTTTATTAAAAAGGAAAGAAGAACTTGCAGAATTAGTAAATGATCGCACTGTTCAAATTAAGTTTAATGAACTCGGGCTAGGCGAATTTTGGATTTACACAAAAAAAAGAATATCCAAATTTAACAAAATTGGCACTTTCCGTGTTGCTACACATTTTCAACGTCATAGTTGTGCGAGATAGCTTTTTCTGCATTAACGAAATTAAAAACAAAAAAAGGAAAAGATTAATTAATGTCGAAGAAGAGTTAAGAGTAGCCTTGTCGAAGATTTTACCACGTATTGATACATTATGTAAGAAATATCAGTCACAAATTTCTCATTAAAATGCTGTTTTATGTTATATTTTTCTTTGTTATTTTTAAGTTTACATTATCAATTAATTATAAATATTTAATATTACTCATGATTCCTATTTTTATAATTGTGTCACACAGTATGAAATATTTTAATAGTGTGTCGCCATGATACAAAGGTTGAGAAATTCTGATATATATAGACATTTTATTAAGATTAGTTTAAATTTGCTGCAACTCGTTTGCGCATATTCAAAATTTTTTACCTGAAAATAGATAACTCGTTTGCGCACGACACATTCACACACATAACACGTGTATACATATATCGTCGCAGACTGCAGTACACATTATCAAATATATTATTTTAATATTATCTTATAATCGACTATGTAGACTGTAGATTTTCCCAGAGGCGTTTTTAAACTTACTTCTAGGGAGGGGCCACTCAATTTTTTTCTTTAATTCAGGCTCAAAATTTACAAGTAAAATTTTTGTTAATATTTAAATCAAGTGAATCCTTAATATTTGTGGTTTTTTTTTTTTTAATGTCGAATCCACTTAGAATAGACTTTTGTATAGTTCATTTTTAACACCTATCCGTGTTTTGAAAGTTTCGCTTGTGTTTTAATTGATTTTTCACTAAGCATGGACCAGGGCTTAAATCAAAATAATATACGAGTATATTATCTTACCGTTATAGAACATTAAACGTCATAAGTAGGCTCAGGGACTTAACCTCTAAAAAATACATAAATATGCATGCAAATATGTTTTTTAAATCATTAAAATATGCATTATAATATGCATTTATATGCATTAAAAAAAAAAAAAATGACCACATAGTACACAATATAAAACGTGTCCATCGGATTTAAATATATCTTTAAATTCCGAAACAAAACTTTGTAGTCGGCTACTCGTAGACTGTTGTACTTTCGGCATTATACAATGTTCTAAAATATACGCGTACGACCGTTTTATGTATGATTCGACGTTGCGTGGTTGCGAGACGCAAAAACAATTACGGATAATAATCGACTGAACTGAACACTAAACAAATAATCTATTATCCTATATCGACTATTATCTCTATTGACATCCGGTCGATATCCAGCAGGTCGATACGGGTTTATAGTATTATTCATACTTACACAAAAATTATAACGAGATATGAGAGGTAGTTTGCAGATAGCATATTACTGGAAGTATTAAGAACTAATTATTAAGTACATTTTTTTTTCGATGGTTTGAAATATGTATGTATAGTTTTTAATTTTAAATTTAAAAAAATTATAAAAACATGCAAAAATATGCACATTCAAATTTTAGATCTGATATTATGGCAGCAAGAAACGAATTTATTTTGCACTCTGCTATATTTAACAAAAATTAAAAAAATTATGCAAATGCTAGAAGTCCCTAAGCCTATATATGAGTATAAATTACCAATAACCAGTGGTGCATTAACTACTATTACATTATTAAACATTGTGCATTCAATTCTAATTTTTTTTTTTATTAACAATACTTGCTCTGCAAGTTATTAAATAATTCAATTTTACATATTACCAATATTTTATTTTTTTTATTTTAAATCCTTGGGGATTGAAGTTTGATATATTGTGCTTTCAATTTATAATACCTATTTGTTATATAGGTATTTAATAATGATCTATTATTAAATTTTATTGATGATAAATCAAAAAGCATATAGACTATACCATATGTTAATTATTATACATGTACAAAACACAAATATACTTTTAATATTTTACTATATTTCTATAAAAATCTTTACAAAGTTACCTTATAGGAAAGAGTTGCAATTTTTTTTTTTATATATTGAATTTCAATTTTATTAATTTTTTATATATCTGATGATGAATTTTTAATTCAAAACCTGTCATATTTTAGAAATATAATAATACTCCAGACTAAGCTTTTATTTAATTATTTCTATATATAAACTATTTGTTTATTATTCATATATTTATTTGATATTAGCGCACACTTTTCCTTTCAAAAAAAAAATCCCTCTGTACTGAATTACAAAACCATGTTGTAAATTGAACTGTTCACTAGACCACATTTGTAATTCATATAAGGCAATAAACATAAAATGATAAATTTTTATTTAAATAATATAAAAATGATATTTTGCATGAAAAAAAAGTACAAAAATAATAGATCCATTTTCAATTTGTATTTATTGTATTGACTAGGAAAAAAAAATACAATTTTGAACTACCAATATTAACATAAGTGATCATTGATAAGTGACCAGCATCGTAACAAATGTTAGAAATATACATTACATATACAAATATAAAAATTAATTAGTTTTATATGTTAAAGCTAGATAAATGGTGAAATTATTGCATTTATAATTCGCATAAAGTCATTTTTCAAAACATGAATCATGTCATTTCATAGCAGTTTGTTTCTTATATGCAAATTGTTATGTAGTAATATATTAAAATGTTGATAATTTATAACATCAAAATTATAACTACTGTTTTTAGGCACAATTTACTTAGAATATAAAATATCACTTTTTATACATACTAAATAATAATATATCCAAACTAAAAATAAATTTTGAATTTTAGTATAAAACTAAAAATGAACTTTATACTAAAATTGTTGTCATAAAGTACAAGTTATTTAGTCACAATATTTTCATTTATTATTTCTAATGTCATAGGGAACTGATATTATTTTATAGTAGAAGCAATATGTTATAATATCACCAAAAACTATCTATCATAGATATAGAAACACGTTTTAACATCACTTTTTATGTATGATCATACTAGAGTCAAATTATACCAATCAAAAACAAAAGAATCTAAAAAGTAGATTTTAAGCGAGAAAGATTATAAGTGAAAACTATTGTTGAGTACAATGTACAGAAATAGTTATCATAAAGCAACAAAATCTTAATAATAATTTTCTATACTATTGAATCTCATAGTTAATTATAAATGTTTGGTAAAAATAAATATTTTTAAAAAAATAAAATGAAATCTTTTAGGTTTTAATTACTAAAAAATTTAGAAACAAGGATACAAAGAAATATTAAAAACACTATTGCAGAGCCAAAGAATTATCAAATAATTTATGTACATTTATTTTTTAATATTAGACCGCAGAATTTCAGATTTTTGGTAAGGTAGTATAATTATTAGGTTTGTTTGTAAAATATACGTTGGGTGAGAGAGCAGTTTATTCTCTCTGAGGGGTGGATATCTTATTTAGAAAACAAAACTTCTAATGACCAGGATTAAGCCGGCTACAGTGCATTTAGACATATCATTGTAGAACTCTGCAATAACACCTCTATTTTATGTACCTTTAACGATGGTATTTTAATGATATACAATGAAAAGTATACTGAATAATTGTTTATCTTTTTTAATTAGTCATCTAATTCTATTCGACAAGGTTTACCAATTCTGTTGTCTTCTTCTTTATCAGATTCTTCTATCTTAGATGTATCTACATCATCAAAATCGTCCCATTCTTCAGTCAAGTCAGTAGGTATAGGAGGCTTGACCTCATTTGCATTAACTTCTTGTGCAGCATCTTCTAATGTTACAGTTTCTACTTCTGTTGTTTCTTCACTATAGACAATATCATTTTTCATTTCGTCTTCAGTTTCTTTTAAATCGTCTTCGTCATTCAATACAACTTCTTCGATTTTATCCAAGCTCTTATTTTCTGCTAACACTTTAGAACCTGGTGGTATATTATCTATAACAGAAATTAATAGTTCTTTGGTCGTTGAACCTGGGGTCATCTCATCGACTTTGTGAAAATTTCTCAAGTGCCCTTTAAGCATCAAACTTGATCTAAATGTTCTAGAACATTCGTTACATGTATAATTAACATCAGGTTTGGATACTTGTGGTTTAGAACTACATTTATCTAATGTCTTATGTCGTTTTAAATGAACATCGGTAGTGGCGACAAAGCCACATTGATCACACTTTGGGAATTTGTACTCTGGAGGCGGTGGTATATTATGCTTAGTATACATGTGATGTACCTGCAGACTTTTTCGTACAGAAAAGTGTCCACAATGTTGACAAACCCTAGTGTCTTCTTTCTCATTATGTTTTTCTACTAAATGCCTCCTAAATGTAAAATAAGTTTCTAATTGTAATGGATTTGTATCAGATCCACAAAGAGTACAGGACCAAGGACCTTTTATGTTCATTATATCTGGTTTTACTTTGTGTATAGTCAATGGTTCTTTAACATTAGTACCGACTGGTAAAATTTTTTCCACTGAATTAGGAGTATTAATAATTATACTCTCAAACTGACTATGATCAGTGCTTGACATAATTTTTAATTTAATATTACCTTTACTTTTCAACAAATGAGGGTATTTCTTTAAGATATTTTCTACTATTTTACTATTTGACTTTTCCGGATCCGTATCACTAACAATTTTCAACTTTTTTCCAACCGGTGATGATACAGACTGGGTCTCACTCTTGGTTATTTGTGTTTTAATACTTTTATCAACTAATTCTCCATTAGAAGTTCTTTTGAGCATAGCTTTTGCATTGTCTGTATTTTCTTGTTTAATTAAAGGTGCACTATCATATTTAGGTAATTCAAAAGTGTTTTCCATAAATTCAGGGACATCATCAGCATCACAATCAAAACGCATTGGTTTATTTTCACTTAAAATATCTTTTACTTTCATTGTGTTGATAAAAGTGGATGCAGTTGTATGTTCTGGTGGTGATCGATTGATCAAATTGTTTTGAATTAGAGGCTTCTTAGCAGGCCTGTATTGATTTAATGCTATTGCTGAATGAGTTTTTGATGACGAAGCTTGGGGTGAACGATATTTTGAATTTGATTTTAATCTACCAGACTGCGATTCGAGAAGCTTTAGTAAAACAGAAACCTGCAACATGTCGGCTACTTCAAGTAAGCTAGTCCGATTATCATCAGTGAAATGAATTTGTCCAGTATACATAAACATTATAACACTCTTTACCGCATTAAAATCTAAATGTGCAGGCATTGTCATGGATGTATCAGAATTGGGATGAGAAACAAAATAATCAGAACATGTATTTAAAACTACACGATGAACTTTAAATGATTCATTTGATGTTGAACGAATAGTGTAATCGCAGTATTCATCTTTTTTGGCCAAGTTGTTTAGACGTTGCATAAAGAAATTACCCCAGTTGTCGATTTTAAGTTGACTGGGAAGTGCCATGGTTGCCAAACAAAAATCTGAAAATAAAAAAGCATTTAGTCAATCTTATCAATTAGGTATATATAGTTTATGAGGATGTCATACCTGCATGCGTTGTCTCCGTCTAACATACATACTACATAGCAAATTTGCGTTCAGTCATTCAAATGTAGTGATGTTATCTTTAATATTAAAGTAAACTGGCCTATAATCAAACTTTAAGGGAAAAACATTATCTGTGATTCGTTGGTTGGTTTTTTCAGATATTTTAATTTTTAAGTGTTTTATGTGTTTTACATACTCATAGTATGTAAGATATAACAATTAAAAACGTCATAACCCTCTGAAAAATTTAAATATAGTAAAAAATCAATCAACAAAACACAGATAATGTTTTCCCTTAAAGTTTGATTATAGGTCAATTTACTCTAATATTAAAGTTAAATTCACTACATTTGAACTACTGAACACAAACTTACTATGTTGTACATGTATCAGACGGGAAAATACATAAGGGTGTGGTGTTTTTTTTAAGCATTTGATAAGATTTGAAATTCAGTTAAATAAATTATGATATGGATTTCAACAGTTACTGATGATGTAATAAGGTAATAAATACTGATATTGAAAATTAAATTATCAATTTTAAAGTGAAATACATTTTTATTTGATTGATAAATTTAACACCTTTTACTTTTTAAGTAAATTTAATCTAATGTTCATTTTAATAAAGTATAATGTACTAAAAACAACTAAATCTAATAAGTCTGAAATTTAAGCTGATATTTTTCAACTAAAAAATCTTATAATATAATTATTAATAGAACCTAATGACATCAAACATATTGACTTAGACTTTTACTACATATATGAATATTTATGTTTTTTTACAATCTTAATCATTATACACATAATATTAAGTTTACAACTACCTAGTAAATTACAAGCTAATCGGATAAATAATCAATATTTACATTAGGCTTCAATAATTGTAACACAACTTTTAATGAAATATTATGATTGAATTATATTAACGTTGAGTACAATGAGATAAATATTTTGAAGCAACGTCGACAGTCATATGATTTTAAAATTATTTCTCATACAGGTTTTTAATGAACAACAGGGTTTACTATGTACTTTGGCCAACACAAGAACAAATAACTAAAGGCTGGACAAAATTATGAGTATGACGACGTAGAAAGTATAATGTGTCGAATAGATTTATCAGAGCATATACAGGTACTACAGAGGTTAGAAGAAAACTCACTTCTCAATGACGGAACAGTAGTTGAATACAATGAACGCTATTGTCGATGGTTGAACCGTTTGGCCACAGAACAGCAACTAGTGGTTGCTGACAGCTGGAGAGCAATGGGTGTGTGTTCTGCAGCAGATGGTCCGGATGAGGCTGTAAGACACAATGTGATGAGCTAATTACGTTTTGTGTGTGCCAATAACCACGATGGCTACTGGGGTAGGGGAAGGGGTGATATTTTGGCGCCAAAGCCGGTCAAGGCTCGGGGATGGCTGGGAGGGCTACGCGGGTGGTTTTCGCGGGGCAGGGCGACGATTGGGACCCGGTCGAGGCGATCGCCCCGATCAAATCGCGGTGACTGTGCCACCGCGGGATGTGGGTTTCGCGGACGTTAAGGAACGGGACGCTGACCGCGGCGGATCGACCGTCGCCACGGCTACCGCTATCGCGCGCTTACCACGAGATAGTGCTGGGCATCCGGCCGCGTCGTCTCCGTCGGCTGCGGCGGTGGCGGCGTCGGTCCTGTTACCGGTAACGATGGTGCACGGGCGTCCCAGACGTTGCCAATCGGTCGGGACGATAAAACGGTGTGCGTGCGCGAGACGGACGGTTTTCGAAAACGCGAAAAACTGGCGCGCGATCGCGAAGCTCGTAAACGGTACGTGCGGCGACGGCTGAAACGGCGAACGATCGCGGTGGCCATGTCGGCTGTCTCGCTCACGACGCGCTACCTGCCGGTGACGACGGGCGACGGCGACCGACGGGACGCGACAGCAGTGCCGCCACACAACCTAACGTCGTTGTCGTCACCGTCAACACGGCGGCGCGAACAAGAGAGGAAAACGAAACAACGCTTGTGACCGGACAACGCGCAGTTGTCGTGAATGTATAACGGTGTGATTTTGATTTTAACCGATCACTGCGAAATTCACACTTCCGGTGGTGTTCGGATTTTTACGAGCATATTTAAACGTATATATTTCTCGCATAAGATTCGGGACTCGATCCGTATCAAGTTTACGTAGACAACCGGACTAACGTCGTGAACTCGTGGAAAATAGATACAAGTCCTGAAACGTGATTTACGGGATGTACATACTACGTAGCAGGGACGTATTTGAACTTACTTCTGGGGGAGGGGGGGGCGAATCAAATTTTTTCTTTAATTCAGACTCAAAATTTACAAGTAAAATTGTTGGTAATATTTAATCTGGTGAATCCTTAATATTTGTGATTTTCTTTTTTAATCTAATGCCGGATTCACTTAGAATCAACTTTTGTGTAGTTCTTTTTTAACACCTGTTTGTGTTTTGAAAGTTACGCTTGTGTTTTATTTGATTTTTCACTAACTATGGACCCGACAAAAGCCCAATTCAGTATTCATAGCCACGCGAAATTTGATTTCGTTATAAAATGATCCATATTAAAAAAAATTTGAAATGTGTATCTCACACATAATCGATTCCTTAAATACGGACTCAGGGGGGGCGAGCGTCCCTTCGCTCCCCCCCTAAAATACGCCCCTGCTACGTAGGTACTTAGTTTTTAAACTATTGGAAAGTTTAACCCGGCCGGGATAGTACGGGATATTATTTATTTTTTTATTATGATTAACACAGACAGAGCTTTAAAATCTCAAAATCCGATAGGTATTTGATTATTGACATGTTCAAAAGAAAAGTTTTTATTTTGCTTTATTTGCTTTTTAATAGCATTTATGTTCAAATCTTGAACATTTTTTAGAAGTCTGAGCAATATCTATATTAATTTACATAATATATTCGATGTTTTTAAAGATCGAAAACTTAAAATTTAAAAGTAGTTAATTACCTGAATAAATACATTATTTTTTAAATATATGTATTTAAAAAATAAAACGTTCACAGTACCAATTTTTTTATTTCATTGATTTCAGACCATTTAATCGAATTATCGAATTATAAGATAATTTTTATAATAACTTTTTTACGAATATATAATTGTAATAATGTTAAGAATTGCTTTCGAGTATTAAAAATAAAATTGTTTTTTACACGTTATTGTAAGGCATTTCTTAGGTCCTGCCAGTCAGTGCTAGCTCAAGGATTTGCGGGACCTATTGTAAAATCATTTTTTATACATAAAAGAGTTTTCTTCCCTAGATATTTGTACAAAATACATAAATTGACTATTGGCATATGTTTAAATTAACACTACGGTCCTTTAATATTGGTTTAAATAAAATAAATAAAATCTCCCTGATTTCATAAATGTTGTACACTTACCGGATTAACTATTGGTTATTACCAGGGCTCATAATTTATAGCTCTAAAAAAGGTTGTTATAAGCGCTTAAATATGCACTAAAAATACTAAAATATGCAAAAAAAAACGTTTGTATACAAAAACTTTTATTTTATTATTTTAGCTTCTATTATAAAAAAAAAAGAAAAATATAGATACTGAATTCACGAAATGAACTAGCATGCATACAATACGAAAAATTGGAAACGACTGCAAAACGTTAATGAAAAATAATCTATAAATAACCTGAGAATGATGATATCGGAATATCTAAATAATGATATTGGAATACCTGAATATCTAGAAACTATAAAAATAAAATACTTCTGTACAAGCTACAATTATATATAATTATAATGGTTTCCTTATTGATGAGATTACGAAGTTTCGGGCGTATACTCTCGCTACGTCGCGCGTCGTATAAACTCGTATATATAGTTTCTTTTGACACTATTATATAAGTTATATAAGAAGAAATATTAATTAACACGAATTAATTACTGATATGAACAATTAATATGATTATAATTACTTGTAATTTTTAAGAAAAAATGTTTTAGGCTTCTAAAAAAAATTTCAAAAAAATCAATGATAAAAATCATGCAAAAATCCAAAAATAAGTAAAAAAAAGCGAAAAAAAAGCAAAATAGTACTTATACTCCGAAATATGCAAAAATATGTAACATTAAATTTTGTATGTAGCTTCTTGGTTATCTGAAACAAATTTATAGCTCACATAGGTACCTCTAGGACCTCTCAAAAAAAATATGCAAATGCTAGAAGTTATGAGCCCTGGTTATTACTAAGTTATTAGTTTTCAAACCAAGAGTATTTCGATGTTAACTAGTAGTGCGTCACACCTTATATGTCTAGATTATACAATATTAACCTACATAGGTACCTTTCATTACATTTTCTTCCTAAATATTTTAGTTATCCTAATAGATGCAATAATTGGTTAAATAAATATTAATAAAATAGTCTTTTAATACATACAGAAATATTAAACAATATAAGATTTAAGAACATGAGTTAAATATAGTAAATTATACTAATATATAATAAAACAATAATAGTATAATAACATAATAATATTTCAATAGTACCACTGGTCTATTTTAAAACAAAAATAATGTATACAGTAATTAAATTAATAGTTTTTTGATAGTTTTTTGAAGTGCAAATTGGTCGATAAGTTGATCGTAATCTAATTTTTCTGATTCATTTTCGATTGATAATCTAAAAATAACTCGTTTGATAGAGACGCCGGTAAAAGTAATAATAATATGCATTATTAACTATAAGTTATAAACAGTTAATATTATTACAATTATAAACTTTGAAATAATTTTGTTCAAAAGTAAAATTATTTTTTTTTGGTTTGTGTAATTTTAGTAGGGTTAAGTGCGAGGGCCTGACGTCCAGGTACACCTTGTTTGAAGGAACTCTAGTATATAAATATATATACTACGGATATAATTGCGAATAACAATTGATTGACATATACCACCCGATTATTAGAAACAATATATTGTATATCATTGATTAAATAAGTTTAAAATAATTAATTAAAATAATTAAATAATACTTATTTAATCAATGTGTATATATATTTTGATCAGGGGCGGATAGGCATAATCTGACCGGCCCGCGAAAAATAGAATACAGCGGCCGCATGATTATATCCAAGTTTCAACTAAACAATTACCTCAACTTCGAGGAACCGACCCGACAGTCACCACCTTTTTTTTTCAACATCTTAAATAATATTTAAAATTATAATATATATTATACTATCCAATATTACATTCATTTTGCTCTCTTCTAACAACTTTACGATTTTTATCTCTTTTATTTTCTGCACCTCCTTTTTATTTTTAATTCGTTTTGAAACATACCTGGTTATACAACATTTTAGCAATATTATACTATTTACATGGTTCGCGTATAATTATTGTGGAAAAACATGATATATCAGTAATCAACTTTGCCGTGGGGTTTTATTAGTGATTATATATGATAATTTAAATCTGAACAATCAGTTATCATTATAGCACGGAATTATATGTATTAAAAACCAATCAAATATGCGCTAAAAGATCTTTAACATGCACAAGTATATGCAATAATATGTTAAAATATGCATTAAAGAAAAAAAATTGCACTCGAAATTTTGAATAAAATTTAATTTTTAATTTTTGATCATTCAATTAAAATAATACATAAAAAAAATTACATTTAAAATTATGTAACCCTTCTGTAAATACTTTTTTTTCTTCATTTTAAAGGAATTTACTATGATATTTATAGATTTAAGCTAGATTTAAATATATAAATTATTAGTATTATATTTATTTACTTTTATTTGTATATATGTAGATGTATAATAGTATTAGTAGTAATATTTTTCATCGGCCCATTTTCATCAATATAAGCAGCGGCCTATCGGGAAAATCCCGGTGTCCCGACGGCTCTATCCGCCCCTGATTGTGATTTCCATAGTCGATGGAAATTTAAATATTTTTAATCATGTTATGTTAAGTATACAACCAAGCCCGTATTTAGGGAGGGGCATGGGTAGGCACATTACCAAGGGCGTCAAGTCTCAGGGGGGGGGACGTCGCCTAATTGCGGCCAAAAGTAACCTTTTTACCTTTTCACCTATCTCGATTGCGGCCCATACATAGTAGGTAGGAAATACTATTTAAGTAGTTATCAAACCTTATTAAATATTCCAATACGCATTTTAACATAAATATAACACAATCATTCATAATTCAACATAAATCATTCGGCTGGGTAATTTCGAATTTTACGAAACATTTTGTGATTATTTAGTTGACACTTATATTGATGATGATTCAGATTTTCCATCTGAGATATGAGCTACTTGTAGTTCTAGTATGTGTTTGACCAGGGGCGTATTTAGATAGGGGCCATGGGTCCCGTTGCCCAGAGCGGCATATTTTTAAAGATTTAGAGGGGCGGAAATTTTTATTTCGTACTTTACACAATTATACAACTTACGCAAATGATTTAGCAACGTGTTTTCTAAATGAGTGTGTACAATTTTAAGGCCATATAAAAAATATTGAAGTTAAGCTTACAACAATACAGATGTTACAGTTTATAAGAGAACATAATTTTAATAGTGTTTATCTTTATACTGGAGTAGCTTTATGTATTTTTTGTATACACCATCTACAAATTGTAATGCAGAGCGTTCTTTTTCAACACTTAAAAGAATAAAAAATATTTTCGCTCTACAATGGCACAAGACCGGTGCTTGGTTTTAGCGGTATTAACAATTGAAGCTGAAATAACCACTTTATTAGATTTTGAAAAAATAATTAATGATTTTGCTAGTTCTGAATCAAGGAAGAAAAAGATTTAAATTTTGTATTTATATTGTATATCTAGCAGTTAATAAGGTTTTAATAAATAATATTAATTAGTAACAACATTTTTTTTTGACTGGGGGGGGGGAGGCAAATATGTGTTGCCCTTACCCTGAAATTCCTAAATACGCCACTGTGTTTGACAACGAATGGATGTGAAAGCTTCCATTCGAAATTCAATTCACTATTTTATACGTCACATCCAAGTATATTTCAATTTTTGGAAATTTTGAAACAATGCCAAATAGATGCTAAAATAAAAATTTAATCTATAGTTTGTACTTATCGGAAAGCAACTAAACAAATTAACAAAAAAAAAAAAAATTATGCAAACCCAAATTACAAAATTAAAAAAACATCGAAATATTTAATTTTGATTTTGCAAAAATAATGAGTTTTAAAAATTTACCCTCAATAAAATTTAGTTTGTGAACCAATGTTACCCTAACCGCTCAGGGGTGG